AATTGCAAATTGACAGACACGATAATGGAGAGACACAAAGAAACATGAAGCAACCATTGCCAATATTGAGAGTATAATGCCCCGTTTTTTTCATTTGATTATTTTTTATATATGCCTTTGAATTACAAATTATTAACTGAAAAAGAGAAAGCAAAATTCAAATAAAGACTGGTTACTTGGAAAAAGTCTGCCAAAAAAGTGACGTAAAGAAACAAAAGATATAGAGCGTGACAACACAACATAGTTAAATCATACAATCTGCAGATGATAAGAATGCATGGTATTATTTTGCATAAGCTATAGAGATTAGAGACAATAATCACATATCTCTTCTAATTGCAAAGATATAAGATTACACATATCATATTCTCAGGGGGCTGAAAAAGAATTTTTCAAAAGCTAGTAAATTAGATGAGAGACCATTCACGGGTGCATATCATCGGGTGTCCTCCTCAAGCTAGATAGACCATAAGCAAGTAGTGCCTACAAAATAAAACATATCATATTAGTTTCACATTACATTATGGTTGTTTTTGGATAAAAATTATGGTGTATGTGACAACATTAGGCTCTAAATTAAGAGATTCCATGACTTTGAAAAACTTTTCAGCCCTGCTCATGTATGCTTATTTGCAATCATTTGTCCAAACATCTTCAGTGCACTATCTGAGCATCAGAAACATTGTAAATCTGAGCATCCAAAAATATACCTGTCTCAATCATTTTAACCAAGATCAAAGTAATCATAAGTCTTCAACAAAACTTAACATAACAACAACAACATATTTCATCAAACCATACAAAAAGTTCCAACATAAATTTCTTCACTTCAAACCCAATTTTAACCAAATCAATTACAAATGTGTATCATACACAAACTTAATGTGAACCTAATTAGACTAAAAAAAGAAGATAAAAAATAGATGGCCATACAATCAAACTTCAGTGAAATCTGTCATAAATAATTCATCAACATACATAAATAATTCTTAAGATGGTGTAGAAACCATATATGCTAATAAAATATTGTTTTAGGCTTTACATGTAGTTTACAGGAATCACGATATAATCCTTCTCCAAAATGTTAACTTTTCTTGTCCATTTACGTACACGTTGAAAAGCTGCTCTGCCATCACAAGCACTTGAAGGATCTTTATCTAAATAAGCTAAACAATCTCCTTCTTTGTCTACCCTTTTCCAACTGCGTCGAAATTAGGGATTATGGTTTTATAAACTTTGCAGATATAAACTGAAATGGAAAATAACCATACCTAAACAATCTTCTTCTTTGTCTATCCTTTTCCAACTCCGTCGAAGCCACGTACAAAATGAAGATTGAGGGAGAGGAAGAAGAAAAAGAAGAAGAAGGAGAAGGTTGACAAAGAGGAAAAAGAAGGACCTTCGGTCCACAGTCGTACACAGAGAGAAAGAGAAGAGAGAGAGAAAGAAAAATGAAGAGAGAGAAAAAGATCATCAATTAACCAATTGTAATAAGGTGTTGACACGTAGGAAAGGGTAGGAAGGGTTTTTCGAGAGACTCAATTTTTATTATATGGTAGATTTTCTGGGTGTATCCATAAAAGATCAAAATATTTTATAGTGGAACTCTCAAGAAGTAATTTTTAGGAGAAAGGATCTACGCCAAGTGATTAGGACAAATCTCTAAAAAGTGCTGGTACAATTCTCTATTCATATTTGTTAATATCTTGATTTTGTGATTGGCTAAATTTTTGGCAAAGCATGGTTGTTCATAACAGGTTGTGTTGTTATGTGTTTTTCAACCAGATGTCAAAGACAATGTCATGGCATTTTAGTCTGGTGCAGCAAGTGCTGCTGTTTAATATTTCTTGACAAGATTTAATTTGATTTTCTGAGATTCCTTTTGATATATCTAAGTTATTTTCACAGGTCAAAAATATGCAATCTGGAACAAAAGAATCAAATCTCCATCAACATTAAAAGTTTCTAAAATTTGTTGTTAAGCTAATTTAGGATACTTAAAGATTTGTTCTAAGATTTTAGGAGATATTCTCTACAACGATCAGCACATGGATTAAGGAAGAATTGGGCAGAGACTTCGAAGCCCATGGACAACTAAAGAGTTATAAAAGGAAGACCAAGACATAATGTTATTCTTGTATCATTAAGGTGTAAGTCACCCTTGTATCTTTTGATACTTGTGGTAGACATAATGTTCTCACTCAGAAGCCTTTAGCTAATGAGTTGAGTATTATTCTCACTGCAAGCCCGTAGGCACGAGTTGGGTATTATTCTTGGTGAAAGCTTTTAAGCAACCCAAATATTGTTCTTAGTTAAGAGTCTTAACTAAACATTTGTAATATGGAAGTATGTTCTTCCTGACAGTTCCTAGGTTTGGGATTGTTTTTATATTTAAGTGGGGAGTGTGTAATTCCTAACAGTTACTGGGATTGGAATTGTTTTCCCTGTGATTGGGAGTTTTTATCAATGCGGTGATGGGAAGTGAGATGCTAATTTATCATATCTAGGAGGTGTCTGGGGGAGGGATTAGGCGAGAAGTTGTAAACGGGGGAGTTTAGCTTTGAACTAGTACTACTGATAATGGATTTACTTCCTGGCTTGGTAGCCCACAGAGCATGTCAGTTTTCACCGAACTGGGTTAAGAAATCAATTATGTTCTTTATCATTTTTCACTTAAATTATGCATATTATTTCAGTTTGATATTTTTATTCAGTATGTCTACATATGTCATAACATTTGCCTTGACATCATGTTCTGATGTTGAAAACATTGGTATGTTCATGGTGTGTATCAGTTCCAGAATATCAATTGGTATCAAAGCAGGCACCCTGTCTGTCATTGGGTGAGCTTCATGGATATTTCTGGTACTATTTGGCCATTGGAAGGCTAGGATGATGGATCTCTTAGAATCAAGAAGCAACCACTGATGGTTATTTGACAGTCTGGTTGATGCTACTACTGATGGTAAATATTTATGATTTTGCTGCTGCTATTACTAATGGTAGCTATTTATGCTTTTGTTGCTATTGACAACTATTAAAGATTGTCTTTATTTCACAACCACTGATGGTTGTGTTGCTAATACAACAACTAATGATGGTTGTTTGTATGTTGATGCTGTTATAGCTACTGATGGTTGTAATGTTAATATGATAACTACTGATGGTGGTTTGTGCAGAATGATGTAGTTTTGAAGATCCCCAAAATGGAAAATATGATGATTAATGGTTCAATTTTCGGAGGAGTCTCTTCACGTTGGAAAGTTGATTATAAATCTTGTCACTCAATAATCAAGCTGAGTAAATGATGTGTAATCAGAATGTCTCAACATCATAACAAACATCAAGATACTCAAGCTAAAAGGCTAACTCGTGCATTGAATTTTCCACTTCTTTGGCTCTCTCAAAAGCTCCTCTCAACTTAAAGATAATCTAGCAGTAGTGAAATCTCAAAGGAGGTGAAATTTGACTTTTTCCCTTCAAAAGATTTCAGCAAAATAAGATAGGTATTCTAACATTGTCTGGGGTTGTCACGTGTTTGCATTTAGAAAGTGACTGGTGAGTATTTCGTTTCATTCTACCAGCTGTGTTTCTTTGATATTGTTGCCAAAAATGATGTTTGTATGGTCAAAGTCTTGTTGTGAATAACTTGATCACTAATGGGAAGAATAAAGTTGATATGTACAAGGAAGTAGAGGTGAAGATGTCACAACAAAAATTTACAACATTCGTCTACTGCAATATTTATAAAATTTCTCTTGTGAACCTCATCAGGTTTTTGCAAGGTAAGAGTCCTGATTGAATTGATGTATGCTCTTGTGGTAATTGTTGATATTTTTTTGGTGAACTTTGGAAGTATTAATATCAAATCTATTTAAAATTATCAAAATTTCTTGATTAAACTCTACAAAGGAAAGTGGATTCCAAATGATAAATAGAAGCATGTCTATATGCTTGATTGTTGGTTATTCTGAAAAGGAACTGAGTGGTCTACATGGTGGAAGAATTAGAAATCTTTTAAGGCTTCAAAGATCTTTTTAAATTCTAACTACTCAATGAGTATCTCTGAGTTTCACTGTTATTAGTAAAAAAATTATAGTGATACTGTTGTCATTAAGGATAGAGAGGATGATGAACTAAAACATTGGAACATCATTCAAAGAAGCGTATTCTCCAAGTTAGAAAACTCTAAATATCTGCTTAAACTAAATCAGACATTTCTCAAGTCAGCTAGAGTTCAAGACTTTTATCAAGGGGAATGGAGGATAAGGAGATTGGTTTGCAAAGGTATCTCCACTATTTTTCAAGTCTGATGGTATCTTGTATTCAAAATGTAATGAGATCTTGACTAGTGTATGGTGGATTAAAGTTGAGCACCCTATATCTTTGCCAAAAAAATCTGGTAATGATGGTGTTAATAAGGGATGACTATCCTTGGAAAGCAATTTTGTCTCCTGAATCAATCAAGTTTCATTTGTATCCTAGTCCAAGAATAAGTATAATGATGAAGGGAACCGTTGCTCTTTAGATTTCTGCATGCAATGTCAAAGAAGATTTTGTGACATTGTACTATCACAAATTGGTTACAGTCTGAGTAATCAAGTTTGCACGCGTGACTTGACAAAGCTCGTTGATAATGATCTTAGTTCTATCAGTGATCTTGCTTCAAGAAAAGGTGTTCACCTTAGCTTGGGATCTCTGGGATGATATTATAAGTTGGACTTAGTTAGTTCTTGAATGAAAGATAGATTGAAACCTATAAGGGTGTGTCTCAAATATTTCTCTAGTACGGAGTCAGCATAGGAGGTGTGCAAACTTTATTGTCCAATAAACTATCGTTACGGTCGGCATAGGCTATGTAGTCAAAGCTCAGAAAGAGTTGAAGAAAAATAGAGTGTGTAACACCCTCGATTTTCTTCATTAATCATTTTATTAATTAATTTCCATGACTAATTATCATTTGGCTTAATAATCATTTTATTTTGTGTGTTCATGTGAGTACTTGATTTAATTGGAATATGTGTATATTATATAGCATTGGGTTGTTGAGTGTGAGAATATCAAAATATTAATTTGGCCTCGGTAGGATGAGATAGTGTGAGAATGAGTTAAGCCTAATTAAAGTTAGTAAGAATTGAACAAAATAAGGAAAATATAGAATTAGAAAAGAAAGAAAAGTGAAGAAAACAAGAGAAGAGGAAAACAGGAGAAAAGAGGAGAAAAGGAGAAGAGAAGAAAAAAGAACCCTAGAGTATCTACATCCAAGGTAAGGGTGGGTATTCATTGATTTATGGGTGTATGTAATGGTATGTGATGGGTAGTAACGTGAAATTAGGGATTTGTTCTTTAATTTTTAGATTTTGACATGTTAGGGTTTGAATGTGAAAGTTTTGGGGTTGAAATTCATAGAGGAAAGAATGTTGTCCAAAGTAGAATTTTTCTGCATTTCGTAGAGGCCGCTTAGTGCGGTTTGGAATTAAAAAAATTATTATTTTCTGAAACTATTTTGGATCATGAATGTATATGATTTATCATTGATTTACATGAATTTTAATAATTTATTCAACGTGTTTTGGATTGGTTTTTGATGAATTTTGATGAAAAACATGATACTTGATTTTGTGTATATAATTGTTGAGAATTGATGTTGATTGAATATAATATGGTTTAGAGTTGTTTGCTACATGTTATAATGATGTGTTGAGGTGATTAATGCTATGAGAATGCATTGTGTTTGATTGATGATATGAAATATGTATGTTGTGCAATTTGGTTAAGATAATGCAAATGTGTTGAATTATGTGAAATATCCTTGTATGATTAAGATATGGAGATGGTCTTAATTTCATATGATTGTTGAGATTGCACATGCATAATTTGTGTCAAGAGGCAATGATTGGTAATTCCATGAGAATTATTGGCTTGTCCCAAACCTAATGCTAAGGGGTTGAAAGCTTAAGGCTGGCGAGCTTTTATTGGTGGTTATCTGTCATGGAGATGTGGACCAGGCATGACCAAATAGGATAACAATTGATACCACATGCATTTGTATTGAGTTGCATTGGAGTCACATGTGTTGATGTGAATTGTTGAATTGATATGCAATATGTGATATTGGTGTGAATGCTATTTTATGGTAATTGCGATTGGTTATCTTTGAATGTTAAATCTCTGAGCAATGTTGTATATGTAATCATGCGAATTAGTTTGAAGTATGATGAATACATGATTATATGAAGTGTTATGAATTCGGTTGATGCTTGTATCTATTGAATTACTATTATTATATGTTTCCATAATGATATGAATTCTCACCCTTCTATTGGAATAATGTTTTATACGACATCGCTCATGTACTGAGGATAATAGTGGTGCTTCTAGAAAGGAGTAGTTGGAGGAGATAGTACTTTATTTATCCATTTTACTAGGTAGTGAGTCATGCTCTTATTTATGTAACATGGGGAACGTTTAGAT